ATAATATTCTGCTGGGATTCGCCTTCATTCGGCTCAATGCCTTTCGAGGGGTAAATTCTAGACGAGCCGATCGATTACTCGCATACACGGATCGACCAGACTCGAGGGGAGTAGCCAGTGGCGAGGCTCCACGATCATGCTGACAGCGCGCTAGAGAAAACGCACGTGGCCTCCAGTGATTGGCTGGCTCTTGTTTTTGGGAATGTAGGCACTCCCAGCACCTCCGCTCGAAGTAGGTCAGTACCGCTTTTGGCGTGGGTTGATCTGCATCGGCAGTGCTGATCGGCGCACGCGGAATGTCCGGCGTCTTAGTAGCAGTTAATTGTCTCGAGACGCCGGGGCAGCGACTTTCTGTAATTGGCTGGCTCTTGTTTTCCGGAGTGTAGCACTCTCAACAGAAAGTAGGTGGATTATAATTTTGGCATTAGAAAAAGTTCAACCGGATAGGCGTGTATGTATTCCAAGTCGTGCTAAGCACGCGACCTCAGAAAAAAAGTGCCTTCAGCTCTGCAACCAAGGTTGAGTAGGATCCTGAGTGAAGTTTGAAGCCGAAGGTAGTTTTTTTCCATTACTCACATATTTGACCCTCGCTCGACCATCGGTCCCCAAAAGGTGCAATTCTTCAACTGTCCCCACATCTTCGAAATCGATAAAATTTCCTTTTCGCACTCATGCGCGCGCGCAGGAGTTCACAGGCCTAGTAACTAAACCGAAAAAAGGCAAATCAAGGCTTTTTCTGCTATGGAAAGTTCCCGTTAGCCAAATGTGTTCATTGGAGTGGCCCACTGAATTTCACAATGCCCGCTTCGCCTGCACACTATCGTTGGTCCGTTGTACTACAATTGACACAGTACGCTAGAAAGGCAAAATATGGCCAGACATACAGTACGTGAGTTACTTATGAAGTGTCAACCGAAATTCTGAAATGCGTTGTCGTTTCGAAAAGATTAATTAAGTAGGGTTGTAAAACTAATCATCATGCAGCATAATTCTACAATAATTCAGTCACCTCTTTCGAACAATCGTCTTTCCAGCTGTATGCCAAAGTCGCACTCCGTAATAAACGACTACTTAAGCGGCGTGAATTTTTTCCATTGTTTTTCGATGCCTATTAAAAATTCATTTATATTTCATGGAAGACAAGCATAAAAATATTCACTCTTTAGCTTATTCACTAGAAAATTATGTCTATTTCTAATTTTATGCTCAAAGGAAGCGTATAATTCGGTTTTCAAGAAGTTTTCTAATTCCCGAATAATTTTGGACCCCCATCTACCATTACACTTGCACTCAAGGTTTTCAAACTACAAGTCGTATATTTTCCGCGTACGAAAAAGCATACACCTCTCTACGGTATTAAGGGATGATCATATGGGGTTCATAAAATGTAGCGGTGGATTTGAGCCATATTATTAACTTTACAAGCCACATTAGTAGATGCAGAGACATGACATTTTATGAATGGCATTTCGCGGTATTAAAAATCCCATAAACTTTTTTCAAAACCGAATTACACCGTTCTTCCAAGTGTCAGGAAGACGCCATTTTCTTCCGAATGAGTAAGAGGATGAACATTTTTATGCATGTCTTCCATGAAATATAAATGAATCATTAAGGACATCGAAAAACAATGGGAAAGATTCCTGCTGCTTAAGTTGTCGTTTTTTACAGAGTGCGCTTTCGACATACAGCTGGAAAGACGATCGTTCAAAAGCCAGCCTTCAGAGGTGACTGGATTATTGTAGAATTATGCTGCATGATGATGAGTTTTACAACCCTACTTAATTGATCTTTTCGAAACAAAAACCAATTTCGGAATTTCGGTTGACATTTCATGAGTTAGTTCACCTACTGTACCACTGGTATTACTGGGCCACTAACTAGGTCGAACAGAAGGTCAAGGGCAAAGTGACCCATCTTGGCTACGAAAGCAGGGCGAAGTGTGTCACGTGATTCACGCGGGGCTTGCGCAGCCCAGACTTCTCCCTCCCTATCGCGACGATGGCGGCCTCAGAGAACTGTGGGAGACTAAGCTACCTTGCCCATATGAAGGCTAATCTTGAATTGGCAACGTAAGCACCGTTCCTTCCGGCCTCCAAACCTTGGAAGGACGATTTTGCCTAGTCTGAACATTCGTTGGTGTCTCCGATGTCGAAATAACTGCAGTAAGACAAGTTCTGAGTAGTCTTCGTTCCAGTCATGTGGGCCGGCCTTATTTACAAAAGTATTCTGCACCATATTGCGCTTCACTCTGTGCGACTTTTTTTATTGAAATGAGATTTTCTCTAACCCGTGAATCTCACGCTCAGCATATGATCAGGACTTTGCATCATGCACAAGGCAGAGGTACGCGTGCGCAAAAAAACCGCTGGAACATATGCGAACCGTCCGGCGAAGGGCCCGCCAATTTTCGCACCTTCGGCGCTATTTACAAGTTCACGTATTTGAGAGCACTTTTTGACCGTACTGAGCCCCTCTGGAGTAAAAACTTATCGTATTCTTCACCTTTGCGCTTAGCATTGGCACATTAGCGCCTAGTAAAAAGGATGCCTTATGAATACTCCTGCGAGGCGCACTCACCTCACCCCTTGAATTCTTCTAACTCGTCTGATAATTGATGGTGTTTGCACGCAGAAGCGCCTAGTTGACATCCCACAGGACATCTGGTCGTTGCTTTTGTACAAATAGCCTGCAAATTACTTTCGTCTCCATGCTAACTGTCCCGCCCACTTTCAATCGATTTGTTGAGATCACACGGGGTCGTCAAGTTCAGTAGGTGGGCCAACTCATTAAATGTCAACCGAAATTTTGAAATGCGTTCTCGTTTTGAAAAGGTCAATTAAGTCTGGATGTAAAATTAATCACCGTCTAGCACAATTTTATAATTATCCAGTTGCCTCAGGGTGTCGGCTTTCGAACGAACTCATTTCTGACAGCATGCAAGAACTACAATCTGCAAAAAATGACTACTTAAGTGGCATGCAATTTTCTCATTGATTTTCTATGCCCTTAAAAATTCAACACGATTACATGGAAAACACACATAAAAATATCCCTCCATTTACTCATTCGGTAGAAAATGACGCCTTTTTCCAATTTTAAACTCGAAGAAAGGGCATAAGTCGATTTTAAAAAAGTTTCTAATCATGAGATTTTATAATACCTTGAAATGGCCGTTCATAAAACCTCGTGCCTCTGCATTTACCAATGTGGCTTGTTAAGTTAACAATATGGCTCAAATTCACTGCCAAATTCCATGAACCTCATATGGTCTCCTCTTAATACCGTAGAGAAACATATGGTTTTCCATACGCGGAAAATATACGACTTGTAGTTTGTAAAACCAGAATGCAAGTGTAACGGCAGGTCGGAGTTCGAAATTATCCTGAATTAAGAAATGTCCTTAAAAACAAAATTATACACATCCTTCGGGAACATAAGCAAACCGCCCGACGAAGAGCCCGCCAATGTTCGCAACTTCGGCACTATTTACAAGTTCACGTATTTGGGCGCTTTTTGACCGTACTGAGCACCTCTGGCGTGGAAACAAACCGTGTCGTACTGCTGGCAGTAGGATCGCGTATTCTTCACCTTTGCGCCTAGCGTTGGCATATTAACGCCCCCTCCGAAGTACGCTCATTCTCCAACATCAAAAAAGCAGATTTATGAGGGGGATATGGCATATGCAGGTGCTTTCTGCCAAGTTTTGTCACCCCATCAACTTTGTCAGATAATCATTAGCGTGCGTTTATAATAGGGCCACCTTATAGTCAATGAGCAACTTCACTGGTGTTAAGTTTCTAGGCAGCGAAAGCGGATAGTAAGCAGAATCAGAATGCGCATGGTTGCTGATAAAAAGGGTGTGTGATCAAAAGAATTATAAGCAAATTTAGTGGGAACAGTATTTTCAGTAAGACAGATATTTCCAACTTTACCCTTTGCATTATCCTAAATACTATGGCAGAAGTTTTAGATTACTTTTATCCGTAGTGTTACAGATCGTGATTTTAGACGGTTCATAAGAGCAGAAACAACAGTGAATCCTAGTCTGGCAGACTACCGTTTATTTTTCACTGTCCATGATTGCTCTTAATGTGGAAAGAACCTGCGGAAGCAATATCTCTGTTTTGCCTTTTTTCTTGTAAATCATAGATCTTAACCAAAAATTCTAAACTAAAATTACGTTAATATAATTTTGGTGTATTTGAGTAGGTTGATCGACACAACTATGAAAAATTTGCCGACCCTGGTGAATTCTATACACCGCAGTAGGTCGAGTGGGTAACGTGGCTCAAAATTTTAAAAAAATGCAGGACTATCTATTGGGATCGCATAGTTCAAGTGGTTAGAGCACCGATTATATTAACAAGCACTTCCTTACAGTTGCGTATTCTACTTCCACCGGGAGGTTTTAGTTTTTGTACTCGAATCAGTTGAATTAGGGTGACTTTGTCATGGGGTTAATATTTCTGCAGAATATAAATTTAAATTAGCCAATCTGCGAGCAAAACAAGTGCACTTTCGTTCTTGTTCAGCATTCTGAGATCTGCACGTCCCACCTTTGCCAGATCGCTCGTTTATGGGGCCAAAAACTGGAGCTGTTAACACGCTTCACAGGTTTTGCGAGAGGGTATAAATTCTTATTTGACTGCAGAAGTAAAGGTCGCCTTCCACATTATTGTGATTGCCGGCAGATCGGGAACTTCAGAGGGAATTCAGCGCATCTCCTAAAATTGTTGGCCCAAGGAGAAAGGATAAAGCCAGGCCAAAGCTATCGAACCTGTAGCGACAGTGGAAGCTATTGATGCAAACTGGCAAGTCGGAACTGAGCCGTTTTTGCCTAATCGTACTTTCGGCAGAGACTTGTTAGTCACACTCTCATTATAGGTATTTTTTGCCTCAGGACTTCGGGCAGTTGCTGTGCAATGGAATCGCCTGCATGAGACCTGAGTATATGAGCAACTCAAAAGGAGGTTAGAGTCAGAGGCAGTAATCAGGCCATGATCTGTGCCAACAACGGCAAACGTTTTCCAATTGATGTCACGCCAGAGACTGGCTACTCGTCAGGTGAGCGGTTGCGTCACAGCAACAGTCTGTACTGCTGCGCACCTCGCCGCTAACGGATTCAAAAATGAATCCATCGTGCCAGGCAAAAGTGTTCAGTTAAGTTAACAGCTCCCATTATCTAGGCACCTGTTGGTAGCTCCTGGCCTCTTCAGACGGCTCACGCGAAGTTGAGTTGTTTGTCGGGTCGATGACGACATCATTAACGATAAGCAGATTGTTATAAAACGCTGTTTGGTGCCATGATTTGACTCCCGCCTACTTAATGAGTTGCCAGTACTAGTGCTATGATTCCTTGTTCATACACCACTGACTCATACGAAGCACTTATCGATGAAATGGTACCAGATATATTGTCTTGTTGCTTCAGTATACGGCTCCTAGTGTAACACATAAGATGTGCTCAAACCTACGAAACATTTTCAGCCCCTCGGGGATCGACAAAAGCCTCCAATCACTAATTAACGACGTTAAGTGGAACGAAAATATCAATGAATTACTGGAAGTAATATAACGCCGTTCAGAAATAGCAAATTTTCCTAAAAAAAGTGGAACTGCCGAAAGCCCAAAAAATCATTGTGACTAGGCAAGCTCAAGTTTTAGAAGTACATAAAGCTTGCCCATCCAAATAGGACTTACGTGCAGCTTGCATCTGAATATCCTTTAAGAATTGATGTAGTTGACAAGAAAATATGCCTGCAGACAACATTACAGCTTTTTGGGGAATGAGGCCACACAGATTTACAAATCCGAATTTCAAAAATTGGTAAAACGTCTGGTTTTTTACAAAAAAGTGCTTGTCCACATTCTGCTTCACCTGACCTACGCAGAATAAACAATCGGATTTTAAGCAAGACGAGATTTGTTTGGTAAAACTCGCCCGTACAGCCTATTCTTGTCTAACAAAAAACTCGCATTGATTCGTAAACTTAGTTTAGGATAATTATTAACATAAGAAATTGACTATATACACAGAAATGCGGTTTTCTGTCCAAATTTGTACTTAGTTTGCCACATGAAATTACCTGGAAACACATCCTACCTGAAAAAGGACTTTTCCCAGAACGGCTTACGCAGACACGTAAACTGCACAACGTTCTAGATGTTCGGTAATGATCAGCTAGATTCCTGTCTCGAAGTTTTAAGAGTTAAGCCTCTATTTTATGTGTTACTCGGTGTAGTATCGACATGAAACTGAAGACAATGACCGCGTATCTTCCATTTTTCAGTTCCCATCGAGAAGTTTATCATTCCGCATAGGAAGAAACGAGCAAATATTTGATATTTTTGGAAAGTGCTTGACTACACGGCACCCGCTAAGGAGACTTAACGTCATATGAAGCTGGTATCTTTAAGTTTGATGTTAGATACACGGTAAAATTGCATGCAACCACTGCGGTACTAACTCGTGCACGCCGCAACGACCTACCAAATTTATTTTACGGCTTCCAAAGTTAGAAACGAAAATGAGCCCAATGGATATCTAATTCACAATTAAAATCCGCCGCTCGAATAGCACAACTGACTGTTAGTACCTCAAAAGAACATAATGTCTCCCAATGGTAAGCTCTCTCTCTAAACTTACCAGGACGGTTTAGAGAATGCTCTTTTGGCCACTAATGTTTTGAGTCCTTTCACTTAACGTCTCTGTCTTTCGATCATTAATTTCCGTACCTTACTGTTCCCATTCCTCCAGGTATCCAAGGTCTCTGGTGGCAAGTTGCATCTCACGTGACATGCCTAGAATCCCCTCCTTCGTCAAGGCTTGGCTTCCTGAAGAGTTTATTCATTGCAGTCTATCCGTTTATCGTGAAACTAAAGTAACGGCAATTCGCGGTGTACCGCATGAACTAAACTGTTTGAACAATTTGTCTTTCTTTACTTGGCACGGCTCAACCAGCCCAGTCTGTCGAAATAGACGGTTTTTCCGCGTGCCAGCTCTTCTTCGAAATACAGAAAGTTCAGCCAGTCTGATGGACTGTTGTTGCAAGTGGCATGATTTGAAAATGGTCTTCCATCTTAATTTGGGTTACGTCACTGATCCTCGGTCATGATTAACTCACGGAGTCGTCGGCTTTCCTTACATTCCAACATTTTACGAGTAAAACAGTTTAAGCGTGACCTTCGTGCAAACTAAAGTGCTCTCTGTCTGTCGTGGGAAATTAATCGAATACGGGACACGCAGATGCACAAATCTCAATAAGCGAACGCACCTGTCGCAGACACTTCGCCGCATTTTTTGCTTGTTATAGAGAATACAGCCTCTCCGGCTCTCCTTAGTCTTGCGAATTTTTATGGTAGCCGAGTTACTCCTTCCTCGTAATGACCTTATTTCGTTTTAGATGTGTCCTCAGAGTAAGTGATATGGTCGAATACGGACCAGTTCCAGTACTACAGGTGGCCTCACCCTAAATTCTGGGAGGGGATCAATTACCGTGTCCAAACTTTGTCCCGACTCTCACCTTAGCTCAAACCCTCGTGACCCCGATCATGGCTCTGCTAACCCGGCCAGAGATCCGGCAAGGGATCCAGCCATGGCGCGCAGAGCCGCAGATCGATAAACTGTTTAGGCACTTTCTCGGCTCAGCTGAAGTTTACTCAAACAAAAGCAGATTGCACCGCAGCGTAGTCCGCTAACACATGACTGATTATGAAAAGTAGCATCAGAAACAGGGTTATTTTTCACTGGCTTTCTGCAAACCCAGCCCTCAAGGAGGGAGAAACAGGTGGTTTTCGTGTTCTACACTGTCTTTTCACATGCGCGTTGGAGTCAAGGGGACGGACGCACAAATTTCCGCAAAGGCAGATAGTGCTCAGTAGCGTCTTCCTCAAAATTCTTCCACTCGGCGATTACATTGTATGCCGAACCACAGATGTTTCATGAGCCGAATTCGTCTCTGTGGCCAGAAAATGACTCATTCCCAAACGGGTCGGTTTGCGGGCAATTCCGCAAATTAGAATCTAGGCCAGTAAGTATACTTGGTAGTATCAGTTGACGGTTGGTCCTTCCAAAACGTCTGCCTCTCAATTCCACTGATGCGGTGAGCCCTTCATGTTTCTTAGTAGTTGTTCTTTTGCGGAAAACGTTAAGAATTTGCTCGGAAATAGGGATGGAAAAGGAAGTACGCCTCTGGCAAAAAGAACCGTTAAATACGTTAAAATAAAGATGACACCGAATTTTCGACTAAATTGCTCCGAAATTAGTCAACTAGAAAACCAAGAAGATACGGTGGCATGTTGACCCGCCAGTATGCAGGATTACGTTTCCACACCGTCTATGCATGGTGCTCACTAGTCTGCGGTTTTTAAGCTTTATCGTATTCCAGGCGATCACAAAAGTGAACTCGTTTTGGTGGAATGTTCCCCCTCAAGGAAATCATCCTGTAAGGATAATCCACGTCTCACTGCATTGGGTTGACGCTGATCTATGTAGATGTCTCAAGTTTTGGAAACCTCAGCCATGCGGCATCAGTGATCGGACGCATCTTTCTACTGTAAAACCGATCCTGATGACCTTAAACGCAGATGTAATTTCTGTAACTGTGCATAGCATAGACCAGTAGCGCTGGCAGTAAAAACAACCAGATTACTGTTTTCAAAACTCCGGAAAACTGTACACTTCGTATTCTTATTCTGTCTCTTCCTTGACCTGGAAGTAGATCGGGGCTTGTTTTCCCCTATCCCACCTGTCTTAGAACTACCTGAAACGGAATTTTACGGCAGCAGGAAGCGAATTTCTGTTTAGGCGTTCCGGAAATTAACAACAAAGGGGGATGGACGCATTATCTAAAAATGGTGATTTTTTGCTCTATTTACGCGAGGAAAATGATTAATCGCTGCGTTTGCCAGTCAGTGAGCTTGCTTAATGGATTAGGAAATGCCAGTTTGCATTGTTTTTATGCAGACGAAAATTCCTGACGCCCTCTTCACTTAGGCTCCCGAACAAAGCATCCAATAATACTACAAGTGGGGGACGGACGTTACTTTGCAAAGGTTCGTGCCACTTTGCAAATCCAGACGTTGTCCATTCCTTTGTGTTTTTACTGGCAAAAAGACTTTGCACGACTTATTGATGCTAAAACCAGATAGTGAGCCTTCAATTATAGCCCATTTCATCCCTAAAATTCTCCTTACTTACTTCTTTAACTTCTGAGCGGTTATTTCGTGCGCAGAGCATTCTGTAATTACTTCACTTGGAAGTGTCCAGAGGAACATAAGATTCCTGCTTTTGTGAACACGAAATCAGAACTAAAACACAAAGAGGAAGAGAACAAGATGTACTTTTTCTGTGAAAACTCCCATCTTTAATTAAACACATCAGTCCAGGTCATGACTCTGTATTTTGCCCCACAACTGCCCATTTCGATGCAAGTTTTTCTTAAGCAAATAATCCAAAACGAAGATGGGCATTTTTTCATTTGATGTACTTACATATATGCATGCAGTAGAACCTCGGTTTTAGGGAGATTAGGGACCACAGCCACATGCGGATAAATAGAATCTGTGAATACTTGAGACCCCTCTGTGAACCTTTGCGACTGCCTATTTTAATGCTATCATTCTAAAACAATTTAGCATTATTTCATTGTCATATAACAACACTACCCTTAAACATATTTAGCCTACAGTTACTCGTGAACACATCTAAGACTGTTAATATTACCAAGTCGAAAAGTAATTGAGTACTCCTATATTTTTTTATCTATATACAAAGAGCAAAGAAATCAGCGAATACTGAACCGCGAACAGACGGGCATCTGATGCTGGCCTGCGGGAGCAGTCTTGAAGATTTACACAACAAAAGTTATAGTTTCCTAAAAAATTTCATGGTTCTATATATATGCGCGTATTTATATATGGTATGGTAGAGGGGCGCTCGTCGATTGTGTTACAGAACTCACTCGTCCCTTTGTATACAAGGGCTGCTAGTTGGGCTCGAGATAGAGCCCTAAGGCACAACAGGACGAGTGAGTTCCGTAAAATCGATCGATGAGAGCCCCCCTCCCATCATGTACAAATAAACATTAATAAAAGAAGGCCCGTCGTGAATTTTCAAGCTGGTTAAGCCAACCCCTAGTCTGATGAGATGAATAGTAGGAATGTGATAATCGCACCAGAGCGCTTGGGGACAGAGAATACACCGACAGACAGACGTTCATATGAGGAGTTGAAAGCCGTGTTATGATAGGTAACGGAAGTTAGGAGAGGTGCTGTGAGTTTCACTTGTGGTTTACCGTGTCGAGAACGTGTCCAATTCGTGAGATTCTGCATGACTGCTCTAAACAGCACTTCATAGCACTTCATTTTGTAATATTCAACTTTGCAAACGATCTTCCGCATTTTCCTGCAGTTGGATGGAAGGATTTTCAAAGTTGACTTCTAGTTCTAATCTGCTTAATCTACCATCTAGTGACAAAATGTCATTCAATGGCTTGTCACATGTCAAACTGACACAAGAAGGCACGTGTCTGACCGGATTATTTTTGTGGGAGTACATTGCTTTCAAACTTGCTCTCAGTGTGTTGTGGTTGGATTCCGGGGGAAAAGAGTGCGCGCTTCCTTCGTGCATAGTGCGCATAGGGAATTCACCAAGTAAATCTGCTTCCGTAGGCAGAAGGTCTTTAAAGAGGTCACATTTAATTTTCAACACAGAATGAAAAGATACCCGGTCAAGCAGACTCCTCGACTGTTGTTGGTGAGGAAACCACGCATCAAAAAGGATCAATGTGAAACTTGAATAAAAGGAAGTAAGCATGTCAAGAAAAGTCGAAAGACCATCGCTAACATGATTAGTTACCTGCCTATGGTATTCAATTCCGATAGTATCTTACTTTTTAAAAGATTTTCTGCGCACTACAGTGCGTGATCGATCTCACGAAATGTTGGCCGAAATTCTGAAATGCGTTTTCGATTAGGAAGCATTACTTAGGTGGGGTTGCAATAATGATAAGTATGCAGCACAAGCCTATGGCATTTCGGACCCATCAGGGTGTCAGCTCTTGGATGCATGCCTTTTTGACTTCCTGCAGAAACCGCACTTGGTAGAAAATGACTGCTTAAGCAGCATGCAGTTTTCCTATTAATTTTCGATGATCTTGTCAATTCAAACATATTTTATAGAAGACATGCACAAAAATATGTTTCCTTTTACTTCTTTGGTAGTAAATCATATGGTCTTGATATTTTATACCCGAATAAAATGTATATTTAGGTTTTGGAAATGTTTCTAATTATGGGATTTTTAAGACCATGCGATGTCCATGCATACAGGACCGCACATGTCCGTGTACCAATGCTCCTAATGAAATGCATAACACATTCCGGATCCATTGCGAAATTTTAGGAACTCTCTGTGGTACGTTCTCAAAAGCATACAGGAATATACGATTTTCCTTAAGCGGAAAGCATGCAATTTGTAGACTGAAATCGACAAATGTTAATGTAATGGCAGATCAGGCGCAAAACTATTCGGGAATTGGAAAACTTTTTTGAAACCTAAATAAACGTTTTCTTCGGGTATAAAATATCAAGACAATGTGATTTCCTACCAAATAAGTAAAAGAACGCATACGTTTGTGCGTGTTCACTATAAAATATATTTGAATTTACAAGACCATCAAAAATTAATAGATAAACTGCATGGTACTTAGGCAGTCATTTTTTACAAAGTGCAGTTTCTGCAGGTGGTCAAAAAAGCGTGCATCCAAAAGCCGACACTCTGGTGAGTCTGAAATGTCATAGGCTTATGCTGCATATTTATCATTATAACAGCCCCACCTAAGTAATCTTTCCTAATCGAAAACGCATTTCAGAATTTCGGCCAAAATTTCATGAGATCGGTCACGCGCTCTAAGTGATTTGTTGGAGCATGTGATTTCCCCATTATATTTTATGTGTTGTGTGGCAGACCTCGGGCGATCTGCGAATCTCTTACGCACTACGAAGATAATACTTAGTGTGAAATTCACCAATGCATCGATTCGTCCCGAAGGCTTCGCCCGGAGCTTAACTCGACTTTCGCGGATTATATTCAAATTCCTGTATCACATAAGATTCGTGACTGTGGCGAGTCCACGATGCGAGAGTCTGGGAGGGGAAGGGGGGAGGAGAAGAATCGATTAAACAAGACCACCAGAAGAACCCGCAATCTGACCAATGCTGGGGTCTGTGCACTACCGCCGCTGATGCCGTCCGTGTTTTTCTTATCGTTTCTGCTGCTGCTGCTGCTGCCGCTGCTTCTGATGCCACGCATTTCGCCGCGTGGTTTAAGCTGCCTCGGGCAGTCCCACACAGGCAAAGGCACCTTAGTCCAATCGCACCAGTCTGGAGCACTGCAAATCACCACGATGCAGTCTTGCGACTGTGATCAGACATCTACGCTCTTGGCTAGGCGCCTGCTCACATTGCGATTACGTCATGTGCAGGTTGCCAGACCGGACCATATTGTAGACGCGTCGACAAAGAGCCCTTATACGTCAACGGTCGAGCTCGACGCTACGGGCTGGTTGGCGCTCAGTTGACTAGGATCATGACTGAGTCTTCTCTCGAAAGCAGTTGGCTGGATTTCCTTAGTCGAACAAGGTGGCCTTGTCCTTCCCGTCGTAGTTTCTAATTCGACCGAGGCTCCAGAGTTTTTCACAATTGGACCGGATGACTTATTCGAATCTGCCAAAAAATACTCCGCCTAAAAAAAGCGTTGGCTGTCAGTACAAAGATGGCAATGTATGCAAGTCCAAGACTTCGCCTCCCTACTAACTGGAAAGTGTTGACAAAGAAACCAAGCAGAAAAGTGGACGTTTTCGGATTTTAGGCCGTAGATGAAGTCGAGCCCTCGTCCGATGAGTTGGCTTAGATAAATGCATGCCCAGCGAAACTGCTCGTCGTCCGGAAGTTCATAAAGCACGTCCGCACTCTAATGAAATAGACGTGCGGAAAATCAGGTGTGCATTTGCAGCGCATAGGTAGCGATGGTAATGATGACGACGACGGCCGTGGCGGTGGTGGTGTTGATGATGATGATGATGATGATGATGATGATGATGATGATGATGATGATGATGATGATGATGATGATGATGATGATGATGATGATGATGATGATGATGATGATGATGATGATGATGATGATGATGATGATGATGATGATGATGACAAGCTGGCATGCAACAGTTTCTAACAGTCATCATTCGAAAAATAAGAGAAAACCATCTTATCGTATCGATTCTGATATTTGCGTGTCCCAGGCTTCTCATATACCGGAGTCGCCTTCTTTGAACCCTGAAATTCGTAAAGGTCTTGGCTTGAGCTCCTGATAGGTACGAAACAAAACGACATTTCAAAATCTCACTAGCGGCCTCACCACACTGACGGTAACATCTTGTTCGTTCAATCATGTCGTGTCATTCCAAAAACATATGATCGAAAAAGACCGAAGTCTAGGGATGCTAAAACTGCTATGACAAACTGGGCAAGGGCAGAAAGCCCTGTCGGCCACCTTCCGGCCCACGTCATGTTTTCTCCTCCGACATAAGAGGCCTCAACCAGAAGTAAATACGGCATAGAAGATGTGGTACTTGCTTACAACCTCTAAGAGGACCCCCAGCATTTAGTTTCAAAAAACCCGAGCAAGAACAGGCAAGAAATCAAAGCACTTTGTCCTGCGAGCTAGCGTCTTTCGCGCATAAGTATAATATTTGTATCAAAATTGTGGTCAAACTCTGCCTCTGAGAACCGTGGAAAACGGACCCCCGCTCCGAGACAGAACAAGAGGGCCGTAGAGCAGAGGTCATCCACCCGGTGGGTGCGGGGTGACGAATAACGACAGCAACGGAAGTTAGTGGAGGATGTGGGAGACAGGGGGGAGAGAATGGTAAGTCATGAGGATCCAAAATAGTCACCAAAAAGTTTGGGTAGAAGAAAATTGCCGGCACATGATCAAAATGAAGCGTGCTTCCCCTGCAGGATCCTGGGAGCTAGAGGAGGCTGACAGTAAGTGAATCTACTCAGAGTACAACCGGCGGATAAACAGACGTGCGCGCAGGCAGGCAGAAGCAAATGTGTCACCACGTCCCGTCCTCCCCAAGTCGACGTACACATGCGGAGATCAGTAGGTGGGCGTTGGGAGGCGTGAGCGAGCCGGATAAGTGGGAACCGGGGGGGAAGGGAGGTTCAGGGTCAGTGGCCGACGTGGGGTGGGTGACGTGACGGGGGGATAATACGATGTAGGAGGACATCAGCAGCAGACGGGCAAAGACCACATGTAGAGGGCGGGACCGATCTAGTCACTTGCTTTTAGACCTCGAACCTGGCTAGACCTCCGTTGCTGAAAGGAGAAAAAGAGAGACGCAGTGAGCAAACGTGGACGCTGTGTATGGCAGCACAAAATTATCACCAATGGGATGTCTAAAATTGGTTGACCCTCCTCTTTATCAGGCCAAAAAGACCAAGTTAGCCAAATGCAAACTACGGAACCATTCAGATTCAGATATTAACGGAAGGCCACATCAAAACCGCCGAGGCGGCAGGGGTATTTCTTTGCCGGTTAACGCATGCGACTGGGAGAAAATGTCTGGGACGCTGCCACTGTTGCCGCTGCCGCCACCGCCGCCGCCGCCACCGATGATGATGATGACGACGACGATGATGATGATGATGGTGATGATGATGATGATGATGATGATGATGATGATGATGATGATGATGATGATGATGATGATGATGATGATGATGATGATGATGATG